CAGGACAGACAAGATCTCTCTTCTCTGCGGGTTCACATTTCGGGGCACATGGAGGGATTCAGAAAATATACAAGTAAACAAAAATATAATGAACTAACAAACTAACCACTTCTGCAGCTAGTAATAGATGCTGTGAACTAAATAAGACAGGATGTCCAGGGTATCTTTAGTTAGGACGGTCAAAGAAGACTTCTCTTAGAAGGCGACATACAATTTGGGACCTAAAATAAGAGAAGAGGCCATTTCTGAGAAGTTCTGGCAGAGGGAGCAGCCAAGGCCCGGTGACCTGCCCTCCAGCCCCCAAGCTGGACTGGCGTTGGGACAAGTAGTTCAAGATGAGGTTGGTGGTGAGGATTAAAGCAGGCAGCAGGACTGGTAAGATGATCTGCAGCACATTTCATGGCATAAGGAAGGACTTGGTAAAAGGAACAATCATATTCGGAAAATTTCATGACAAATCAATGCCCTTACATAGTCAGGGCAGACACAAGCCACCACTTCTCTACTCTCTGACACCCTAAATGCACAGGCCTTGCCACAGGAAGAGGTCACCGTGCCACTCTGTTAATCTAACCTACTCAGTCTAATCTTGGCAAGATCTATATTTTAGCCACTGGAGAGGATAGAATCTCAGAGCTGCAAAATAACTTGGTCTGTCCATGTATCAATTGTCACATCATGATAAAGAGTAATCTGAGGGTTCCTTGGAGCAGCTTCTGAAGACTTGAGGAATAGAAGGTTAGGGGAAATTAAGCGGGTGGGATTCAAGGCCTCTAGTCTATATTTCAACCAGAGGAGTTCTATAGGTGTCTGTTTTTTTTTTTTTTTTTTTTTCCTTTTTGTCTTTTTTCGTGACCGGCAACGGATCGCAACCCTCAGTGTCGCGCCTGTACTGGACCGGGACTGGCAACGGGATCGCAACCCTCGGTGTTGCGCCCGCACCTCGCTCAGCCAGCGAGCGGCCGGTCTGTATGTGGGATCTGAACCCTCGGTGGGAGCACCACCGCGCTCCCAAGCAGCGCACTGTAGCAGTGCGCCACTGGGCCGGCCCCTATAGGTGTCTGTTTTACGTTTTACTTTTTATTTGAAAACCAAACTGTGTTGCTAAAAACAATCCCAAAGCTTGAAAATCATCAACTGACCCTAGTTTTACAGATAAAGAAACTGAGCCTCAAACTAAACCTCAAAGACTACTCAAGGTTATGAGCTAATTAGTGGCAACCTGGGACTAGAACCCATTTCCTAACTTCTAATTTAGTAATTTTCCCATATACTTTATTATATAAAAACACCTATTCTAATCTTTATAGTTACAGTATTTGTTTCTGTTCACATCTATGTCGACCAGTACATATTCCCTTTCATATTACTGTATATCTGAGTTCTGATACTCTAATGAGTTCTGGTGCTTTGGAGAGTACCACTTCTATTTAACCAGTTTTGAACAACAAATACAGGACCTGTTTTCAGTGTCTTGCAGTAACACAGTGTTTTCCTCAGAACCAAAAGATGTTTCAGTTAGGGTCTAGCAGTGAGGTCTGAAGAAGCAGGATTAAAGAAGCAGTTTCTGACAGGATTATTAAAAACTTGAATTATTTATAATTCTACCTGAGGGAAAAACGAAAGCTGAAAATTGGTAAAAGAAAACAACAGAATCAGGGGTTGGAAAGTAGCAGAGGTTTAGGAAGATAATAAAAGACATGATTTGCAAAATGTTGAAAATGAATAATGAATCCTTCAGGACACTCATTTTTAGGAATCACTACCTTAGACAGTGGAAATAATTCATGTTCTGCTTAAACTCAAGTTCTGAAGGGGTCGGGGTATCACCTGGCTACTTTAAAACAGTAGAAGCAGGTTTAGAGGAAGAAAGAGATCTGTAAAGATTTGTAAAGACATATGTCAAATACCTGCTTCAGGGATAGGAAGTTGGACAGGAGATTTGGGTCAAATGGAGGCAAATTTCCTATTTGGAAAAGAACAGTAACAATGCGAAACATATGATATTTTATTCTATTTTTGACCATGGAATGCAATACTAGCATGCAGGGAAGGCAATCTAAGGTGCTTCCTGGACTGGCTGACAGTAATTGTGGGTAGTTTAACCTCTTCTGGTCAGTTAATGCTGGCAGATGAAGCAGGTTGCAAGAGCACTTTCACAAGGTTGCAAATTTTCAGAGTTCAAGGTACTCTCAGATGAAGGCTAACAGGTTTCTCTTCAAAGGAGAGTAAAGGTGTTCCCCAAGTAGTATGTAGTTCCACAACTACATGGAAAAACGAACTTGAAGTGGGAACAGTATGAGCAGTGAATATAAGTTAATGTCTTCACTCTATAGAGTTCATTCAAATCGCTAAAGAAGTGAATTCACAGATGAGAAGATGCAATCAGTAATATGCCCATGAGAACGCGTTCACAATGAGATGCTCTACTTTCTTTTATCGCGTGAGCACTGATAGGGGTGTAGGAAACTGGTGGTCTCAGGCATGGAGGGGGGCTTTGCAAACAGACACAGCCCTTCTAGAAAGCAGTTTGGTAGTATATATTAAGCCAGAAACATGGCCATACCACAAGACCAGTAATCCCATTTCTGGGAGTCTACCTTAAATAATTGAAAATATGTGAAAAGCTATATTCATAAAGAAGTTTGTTGAAACAGTACTTGAAAGAGCACAAATTTAGAAAGGGCAAGGAATTTCAATTCAATTCAATGAATGATAGTTGAGTACCTACCAGAAGCTGGGTGTAATAAGGCAGAGTTCTGTCTCTCGATAATTCATAATCACAACTTAATGCTTGCTCTCTGGAATATTATGCAACCATTGGAAAGGAGGTTATGGAGGCACTAAGAGATTAAAATGTGTTTGATATATTAAGCTTCAAAAGCTGAACACAGCATTATGTTTATCACAATGTTTCAGGGTAGGGGTGGCGGGAATATGAAAAGCCCGGAGGGAAAGAAACCAAAATGGCAACAATGAGGAAATGATGGATGATGTTTTCTTTTCCTTTATTTTCCTGTAATGTGGCTATGTTACCTTTTAAATAATGAACAATAATAAAAATGAGATGAGAAACAGGGAAAAATAAAGTAATGATTAAATGAAGAGGAAGCTTAACGAGGAAAGTACCAAGTATCCTTAGGAACTTTTATTTATTTAAAAATCGCTTTTAGCTTTTTGGTGAATGATTAATGCTAATGATTTGTTAGTTCAATAAAATACTTTATTTTAGATGAAAAATTATAAGGCTCTAAACTAGAGATTTACTGAACCCCACTCATGGAGGTCTTTTGAATCTCACATAAATAAAAGTTACTCCATAGCATGAGCTTAAGAAATTCATTACCTAAAAACGATTTATATTAAAAAGCAAAGAATAAAACAGATCCGCAAAAAAAATCTGATTTATTGGCTTGAAAGAACATGAAGATCTACTAATATTCTGGAGAAAATACCGTGGAATAGGCCAAAATTCACTTCTATGGGATAGAAGGCCAGGGAAGGTACTGGAGTATTAACCAAGGACAGGGAGACTGGCTTCCACTGGCCAGCAACTCCTGCAGGTAAGGGGGCAGCAAGGGAGAAACCCAGCCAGACTGAGGTGGGAGCCGCCACACCTAAGGGCAAAGGAGGCTCAATGGGGGAGGGGATTTTAGAGATTCTGAGTCTCCCAAATGAACTGCTTTGACTCACCTGGCTCTGCTCTTCTCAGGAGACTAGAAGACAAAAACATCTTTATTAAATATGTGTAGTACTGTGTAATGAAAAAAGCCACTGTGGACTTCTAATGGTGGTTTTGGTACTGACTTGTTGTATAACCCTGCATGAGTGACTTCACATTTCTGAATCTTAATATAGCCATCTGCAAAATGAAGACCCAGGTGAGAGACTATTTAAACGACGGCTCCCTTCCAGCTTTCATGTTGCTTGAGTCTATACCAAGCGAGTAGACCTGGTTGAGACCCCTGCCCTCCCCCATCCCCACAAACCTGGGGAAAACACAAGTAGGGAAGCACAGACCACTTGTGTTAAAACCTGGACACAGGCACAGAATCCTTCTCAATAGAGAGTTCCAGATATCTACTCTCCATCAGCTGGCATTTGCATGTAAGGGGAAATCAGTTTGCCATTCCTGGTCTGTACCATATTGTTCTGCTTTCACAGGATGAGCTAAACCAGAAAGGCCGAGATATCTTAACACCATCAGGCAAAGTCTTTGCTGAAAAGAATCCCCAAGACCAGCCCTTGCCCTGCTGCTAAACATCAATTTGGCTTGTACAATCTCCCTGGTAACAGAGTACAATAAGCCATCATCCAGGCAGCCTGAAAGTTTTGCTGTATAATTCAAACACACTTTAGGAGCTCTCAGCATGGTGTTCTTCATTCAGTTCTTACAGGCCTTGCCTTTTGTCCTCCATTCTCCCTGTTTCCACACCTGATGACTGTCCCAGTTCTGTTCGGCTGGAATCCTCCACACTGAACACAATGGAACTGAAGGAAAGCTAGAAAAGCCCTGGATCCAACTCAGCTGGTCTTAATAATCAAAAGAGTCTGGAAACAGAAATCTCAGAACTTTGTATAATTCAAATCGGGGTAAGCTAAGAGAGAAAAGTCTACTGAAGGAAACATTTTCAAAAACGAAGCAGGAGTCTTGACAGTTTCTCTCTTCTAAATCAAAAGTTTCATCTCACCAATGAAGATGTGTTAGTTACGGTCAGATTTGGCTACGTATGTCAGAAAGACTTGAAATCACAGTGCCTTTGAGCAGGGATCAGCAAGCTACAGCCCGTGGACCAAATCCAGACTTCCACCTGTTTTTGTAATTAAAATTGTATTCGAACACAGTCACTCATTTGTTTATGTATTGTCTATGGCAGCTTTTGCACTATATCAACAGAGTTGAGCAGTTGTGACAGAGACTATGGTCTACAAATCCGAAAGTATTTATTATCTGGCCCTTTACAGGAACAGTTTGCTAACCACTGCCTTAGGGCATTAATTTATCTCTCTCTCATGTAAAGAAGTCCACAGATGGGGAGTGCAGGCTGTAAGAGGCCTGGCTTATCTGTCTGTCTGCTTTGATATCCTAGCACACAGCTCTCATCCTCCAGATCACCTCATGGTCCAAAACGGCTGCTGGGACTCCAGTCACCATATCTAAAATTCAGGAGAAAAAGGAAAAGCAGAAGTTGGTTAAGGGGACTCCTCCCTGATGACTCAGCTCCCATTAAACAGCCTTCTTGGCAGTTCCACAAAATACATCCACTTCTATTTTATTCAGCAGACCTTAGTCATTTGCCATATCTAGTTGAAGTGGCACTGGGAATAAAGTGTTTTTAAAAAAAAATTTTTTTTTAGTTTTATATCTGGTGGCCACATATTGAGCTAAAATAAGAGTATATTGTTCAGGAGAAAGGAGGGAGTGGATGCTGAGTTGGGCATGCAGCAGTCTTTGCTGCAGAACACTATGTAGTGACATCATGAGTATCAGGATTCACAGGTAACTCATATCATTTTCCATTTGGGGGTGGACATTTTTAAAAAATGAGGAATTTGTATTCTGGCATTGCAAATACAACTACCTTTGTTTTATGTTTAATCATTTGGTATACATATTTGCTGATCATGAATCAGTCAGGGACTGGCCAATCCATTCATTCAACAAGACGGACTGAGCACCTCAGCATCCCAGGCACAGGGAAGGCAAAGGAATGCAGAACGCAAGGAGCCCCCAGCCCTGCCCTTGAGGAGTGCCAGGTCACTGGGGAGACACCAGCAAATGGACAATGGCCGTTCAGGCGAGAAGTTTCCATGAAAAGCACATGGCAAAGGCCTAAGACTTGAGTTGAATGCTGAAGAACCAGCTGAAAGGAGTTTGCAGGGTGAAGAAGTGGAGCACGGACATTCCAGTAGGAGGGAGCAGCTCGTGCAAAGACATGGAGGAGACAGCGAGTGAGTAGAGCCTGGCAGAGCACAGGTGTGCAGGGGGAGGCACAAGCAATCAGCCCAGGAGGTGGGCCGGGATCACAGCCAGAACAGAAGGGTTTCACCTGGACAGTGATGAGTAGGCACTGAAGGGTGCCACTTAGTAGAGTGATAGGACCAATCTGTGTTTCATAAGGATTGTTCGGGTCACAGTGGGGAGGGTTTGGGAGAGATGGGCAGGCAAGAAGACAGAGAAGACTTCTATTCACCTCCGTTACATATTCTGCAATCATGCTTAAGTTACTGTTGCATGAGAAGAACCATTCACCCAACCGCTCATTAGTAAGGAGACCTCGTGGATAACCTATATTTCACTTAATCCTCACAGCCATCCTAGGAAGCCCCATCTCACGGATGAGGTGACTCTGAGGTTCAGAAACGCAGAGTGGCTTGCATTAAGGTTTTCTGATCTTAAGTCCAGTGCTCTTTCTGCTACACACTGAGAGCAACAAGCATTGCAGACTCAACCTGTCACCCCTAAATCCAGTCCAGGCAGTACTATTTGCATGTTTTGGCAGTAACATATCTTAGTGGCGTTAAATGTAGGAAAACATGGAGGCATTTCCCTCCTGTTACTTTATGGGGCAAGACATCAAGCGTGCTTTACTAGGCTTTGGCAAGGTCTCTTAGTAGGAAAAATCAAGCATATATTTTATTATTCTTTTGTTCAGTGCTGTGGCAATTATTCAAACATTCATGAAATATCTGTTTCTCTCTGATTCCAACTTTCTGTTTGATTATAGTACATCTTTCATCATTTATATGGAGAGCCATAAAAATTTTCAAAATAGACTTGTTAAGGTCTCAAGTCAAATAAATTTAATAATATTTTGATTATTTTTTTAGATGTTCTCAAAGATTTTTGTCTTCTCAGAAAGATCTTTAAAGATACCTGTTCTCCTCCCCTGACCTCCAGGTTTGAGTTAGAAGCTGCCTCTTCCAACACTTTCCAACACTTGGTCAAAACGCTTCAAAAACTGCTGTGATCTTCAATTTCCCTGTCTTTCTCTCGACTAGATAGTAAAATCCTTGAAGTCAGCAACAGGGTATTTATTTATCATTATATCTCCAGAGTCTGGCACAGTGATTGGCATTTAATAGCCCACAATAATTGTTTGTAGATTATTTAATAAAATGGATCAGCAAAGTAACTAAACACACATAATTATATTTAAAATGGTACTATATCAGAATCCTTAACACATTAACAAAAACTTTACTTTTCTTGTAATTTTACTGTGAAAAAAATCAAAAGCTCTAGGAACAACTTTAGGAGTGTGGTATTCAGAGGGGCCATTAGGTGCCCATTTTGATATGTGTTAAGACTTAGGATGACAGTGCTTTCTAAGAAGTTGACCCAGAGATGACTGCTTTGTGGTTCCATTTTTGCCCTCTGTCACCTCTCGCTCAGGAAGCATAGACTTTGAAGTTTAAGTCTGCCTCGATTTAAAAGAAGAAAGTCTTTCCACTTTCCTGAGTTTGCTGTCTTAGGAGACCAGATGTTATGCTGAGCACATCTGCCTTTAAAATTCACTTTGCTTCCTATGCTTTGACCACTGTGTGCTGGCACTGCTCAGGAGGAAAAGACTTCCAAGTTGTGGTCTGAATGGGAGCTCAACTCCAGGGGCTCACTGCTCCCGACACACCCACTCAAAGCTCTTCTACACTCATCTGTCTGGACTCTCCCCCTTGTGTGTGGCACCCCATGGCTCCAAGTTTTCATTTATGACTCAGTTTGGAGGCCTCAGTGAGGTGTTACTATAAGACATTTTCACCAACAGATCAGAATTCATCATCTGGTCGGTCACTTGCTCAAAACACGTCTGGAAGCCATCTTTCACAATAGTCTTCAGCCCTCTTCTTATTTATCCGTGTGCTAACTCAGTCTCATAACTCTTTAATGGCTCTTTTCACCTTGACCTTTCTTTCATTCCCTCCTTTTGCTCTGTTTAGCCCAGTCTCTTTCCTTCCTCTTTTCTTCTGCTCTAGGGCCAACGACCCAAACATCTTCTGCACTCAGGGACCCAGAGGGGAGAGTCTGCAGGGCAGAGTGAAGTGAAAACCCCAAACAAGCCTTGCACCACCCCAGAGCAACGCAGAGGGAGCTGCAAGGTCTGACTGGTTTCCTCACATTTGTGGGCTCCTTCCTGTCCTGAGGCTGGGAGGAGGGAGGGGCTCGCTGAATCCAGAATGCTAACTGCTGAGCTGCAAAGACTGTGTGTGGTGCTGCTATAGATTTCTGAGAAGGTAGAGAGAATTGCCTGGAAGCATTAGGCGAGATCAATGGTCTTCAAAAATAGGTGGAATTTAAATGACCAGTGGGTTACCAGTGGTGCTCAACCTAGGGCAATTTGCTCTCCAGGGGACATGCAGCAATGTTTGGGGACTTTTTTCACTGAAAAAAGTTGAGGGTGGGGGGTTGGGAGGGAGAAAAGTTGTTACTAATGGAAAGAGGCCAGGGATGTTGCTAAACATCCAACAACACACAGGACAGTCCTCCCCTCCTGTCTCCAACCCAACAAAGAATTATCCAGCCCCCAAATACAGTATTCAAAATGCTGAGGCTGAGAAAACCTGGATTAGACAGAAAACATTCAGAGCAGTCATAATACAATAAGAAGGGAAAACATGTAGAAATTAACTTATTGTTGAAATTTAAAAAAAAATCATTCTGGTTACATCTCACCAACTTCCACTTTACCTAATGTTCACACATGAAGCATTTATAAAGACAGTTTCTAAATGTGAAATGAATATTTGAATGGATATTTAAGTGTAACATTCATTTGCTCTTGCTATGCGGTATAAAGTAGGCGACCTGCAATGTGGCTCCATTGCTCTGGGAACTGGGTTAGTCCACATTCGTATTCACTCACTCTCTCAGTATCCTGTCTCCTTCACAGCACTGGTCACAATAAACATTTGTGCGATTCCTATTTATTATATGTCTCCCCACTGGAGTCTAAGCTTCCCAAGGCCAGGGACTGGATTTGCTGTGCTTTCTGTTTATCCCAGAACCCAGCATAATGTCTAGGGGGGGGGGTGGAGTTAAGAGAGTGGACTCTCTGGGTATAAATCCACATCTACCACTAACTCTCTGTGTGACCTTAGCAAGGCACTTAACTTTCTTAAATACACAGTTTCCTTATCTACATCAATGGGGACAGGTGGTACCTACCTCATAGGTAGAATTTAAAAAGTTAATATGTAAAGTGCTTAATAAATATTTGTTGATGAGTGAAGCATCCCAAAACAAACAAAGATAGGGTTAAAAAATCTGTCTGCACACTACCAAATTAGGAAGAAATAAACATAAAACATCTAGAAATTTAAGAGTTTTCTTCTTAGTGAATTAACAAACCTGAAAAGCTGTCTGTTAATATTTGCAGGCAAAAGGCATTGAAAGCCATTGCAGGATACACATATTTGCCATATTGATTTTACTACACAATAAATGTTCTACCCAGTTTCTCTGTGATGTCCAGTTTTCTTACTATATTTATTGCTATATGTTAATTTCATTTTTTTTATCATCTCCTGATAACTGATTTATGGCACTATGGTAAGTCCATCTAAAAAGGGAATTGAACAGTTTTCTGTGGTTGAATGCCACTGTTCTTCTTCCTGCTTAAAAGCTACTTCTTTCCAGTTTTAGGTTCTTCTCTATTACAGGGCTCTTTCAAGTACACAGAGGGTTTAAACTTTAATTGTTTTGCAGCTGACATTTCCTGAAACTTTACTGTGCTCTTTGCATCTACAGCTCCTTCAGGTTCCCAGTCCCTCACTATTTTTCATCTTCCATTTGTTAGCTCCTACGTGTACATCTTGTGGAAGCCCTGGGGAGAGAAGTGTGATTTGTAATCCTCCATTCAAGTGTACAGTTATTCAACTGACACTCAGGAAGCACTTATTGAGCACCAGTGGATTCAAGCTCTGCTCCCGGCTTCTGGGATACAGCTGGGAACATGACAGGCAAGTCCTGACTGTCTTGGAGGGACATTCTTGAGTATGAAGGGAAACGGTAATAAATAAACAAGCTAATGAACAAGGTAATTTCTCACATTATTATAGAGGAAATCAACGACATAATTTTATTAGTATTCTATGGCTGCTATGACAAATTACCACAAACTTGGTGGCTTAAAACAGCATAAATTTACTATTTTAAAGTT